CGAGCAATGACATGCTTAAAAATTGTGAATAATCAATCCGAACAAAATTCCACATTTTCACCTAAAATCCAAATGAGAGGCTCCGAATATATCAACACATCAAATCAAATAATGCTAATCCATCTCCTCGTACTCATCGATAAAAATTTATATATACACCAAATACACATCAAGCATTATCACGGAATATCCACAACACGAAATCACAACCCGCGTTTATTCTCAATCAAATAAGTTTTCCGCGGATAAATCTAATAATTTTACCCGAATAGACCGAATATATTCTCCACGAATAAATTAAATAAACCCCACGAATATATCAAATATTCTCCACAAATATATCGAAAAATCCCACAAATAAATCAAATAATATCTCGAGCCAATCAAATAATTCTCCTCGAACAAATCGCACAATTCCATGAATAAATCACCTAATTCTCCACGAATACTCCAAAGAATATCTCCTCGATCGAATCAAAAATGGTCCACAAATAAATCCAACAATACTCAACCAATAAATCAAGTAGGCTCCATGGATAAATCAAACGATTTTGCTCGAACAAATCGAATATACTCTCTACGAATAAATCAAATAAACTCCACAAATGAATCATATAAGCTCTACGAATATTGCAAATATTCTCCAATTATAACAAGTAAACTTCAATTTCCATCAATTGAAAAAATCCTCATGCCTCAAAATTTTAATTAGTCACGTACCTCCGTTATGAGAATACTATCTCAAATTACCTCACCATGCTCGTTGAATCATCCCGAATTAGTTTTTGGCTAGAAATGAGGCTGTTAGACTAAGCCGGTAGCATTTTTTGCCACGCTGGAGAGGGCTGAGCGCGTCATGGGCGCGCTGGGGGAGGCTGAGCACGAACGGGCCGCTTTGGAGGGACTGGGCCGCGCGCTAAGGGTTGATGGGCCGCAGCAATGGGCCTGGAAGGGGATGAATACTGCGGGATGAGGGACGGGCCTCGCGGGCTGGGAGCAAAGAGGGGCGCAGGCTGGAGCGCGGGCTAACAACGGGCTCTCGCGGGCTGGGTGATGTGAGGCGCGCGGGCTTAGCGGGCCGAATGCGGCCCGCGCGCTGAGTTGCTGGGCTGAAAAGTCTCCTACATGGGCTTCTCCATTGGGTCACTCGTTGGGCCTTTCTTGGATACACCTTCAAAACACGCGGGCCAACATCTGGGCTTTATCACGTCAGGCCCCGCGCACTGTGCTGAGGTGTGAACACGGGCTGGGTTGGGCTGCGGGGAGCAGCATCCTCCACGGGGTGGGTCTGCGAGCATGGCGGCGGGAACACGCCGGAAAACTCTTCGCCGGCAAACCTCGTCGGATCCGGCGAATACGACCTGCCGTGTATGCGCCTCGGCAAGGAGAATCCGGTGGTGCCATCGGTTTGAAGTGGTTCACCGGAAATCGACAGGAAAATGGAGAAGATGATCGGAGTTGACCACCAATTTTGTAGATCTAGAAACTTTGATCGGCAAATCGACGGCCTTTCTGATGAAATTTTTGCTTGAAATTTTAAGAGTAGAACAAATACGAGAAGAGCTTCCCGTTGACATAAGAATTTTTCCGATCGGACAACTTTGACCGACGGCCGACGGCGGCGGCGGTGGCGGAAGGCGGCGGCAGCGGCGGAGGTGATGACCTGTAAACTCGCCTCGGCGAGAGGATTTCAGTGGTGCTCCCGGATTTTCCATAGCCCTCATGGATCGGCGGGAAAATGCATTTGAATGTCCGATTTTGACTAATTTTTTGCTAGATCTGGAAACTTTGACCGCAAAATTGACGGCCTTCCCGGAGGAATTTTCGCATGAAATTTTTAGGGGAGATCCACCTCAAAGAGATCTATCCAATGACGTAAAGAATTTTCCGATCAGAGCACGTTTTCCGGCGTCCGACGACGAGGGTGGCGGCCGGCGGTGGCGGCGGCCGGTGGAGAAGAAGGAGCTTGTTAGAAGATTTCTCGAATTTTTCGGTCGGAACTCCGTTTGACTTTTTTAACGGGTCCCACAGACGGCGCCAATGAAGTGAATAAGATTTCACTCGGGCTCCTTCGACTCGGTCGGCCTCCGTACCTGCAAGAACCCAACGCCGGGAAGGGTCCCGGCGTCGGGCCTCCGACGCTCAAGTCAGAATCACTCCAAATCCCAAGTGTATGAATTATGAATGTAGAGAGAGTGAGAATGTGGTACCTTGACCCTCTTTTATAGGGGGAATGTACCTTATGGCCCTGTTGGGCATGTCCAATAGCATCATGCCACGTGTCCTAGCCACGTGTAGGCTTATTCTTTAATATATCCCTTTTTTATCCATTAAGACTGGTCTATGATATAATATCCTATATCATATAGAGTGTTTATTTCTAGATCTTATGATGTTACGATATGTATATCCCACTTCCTAGATAAAGTCAGTGAAGAGATAATAATTAGGTTAAACCTAATTACATGGGTCATATTAGATCATATGCTCCATAGGTGATTGAACTAATACAATAATTAAATATTTTCTGTGACATAGACACCAATCTCAAGTAAACTAATACAATAACTAAATATTTTCTGTTACATGTTTTTTCTAGGAATTTTGCCAGGCATGGCTATGGTGCTTCCTAGTTTTTCGTAAGAAAGTTGCCACAGGCGATGTCAAAAGGTATAATAGGTTTTAGCATGTACGAAGCGTACGAGACAATGTATGAAGCATCTAAACTTTCTTTTTTGTCCCGTACATTAAATCAATGGTTGATATTCATTTTTGAGTCAATCTAATGGTGAAATAAAGGATTACATGATGTTAGAACATTCACAATGCTTTAGGTTCAATCTCAAAAAATTATATGTCACCTCAAAAATAGACCAAGTCTACAAAAATATATTCTCCAATGCAAATAAAAGTAAACTGGGTCCTGTTGATGTGGCAGCCAGAAGACCCTAGTAGAGACCTAGTCTCTTTGAATTGAAGTTGATTTTGTTAATTTTACATAGTTTTATCCATGTCATTCAAGACTTGAGTTTATTTACATACCACATAGGCAAGACTAGAACCAATGCATTGTAGATACTCTTATGGCATGATTGGTATAATGAAATGAAATTTCGTAGGAATGGAATGAATTGAAAAATGAAATGATTATGGGAATGGAATGAAACAAGTTTTGTCATTGATGCGTTTGGTATGCGAAAGAAATACGACTTGAATGGAATGACATTATCATTTTTTATTATAAAAATAAATAAAAAGCTTTTTTTAAAAAATAATATACTTTTAATAAATTATATATAAATACTTTTTTAATAATATATAAAAATAATATAATATATTTTTAATAGTATATAAAAATAAAATATTATTTTTTAATAATATAGAAAATAATATATTTTTAATAATATATAAAATTAAAAGAATATATTTTTAAATTATATATAAAAAGTAATATATTCTTCAAATTAATATATTTTTAATATATAAAAAATAATATATTTTTAATAATATATAAAAATAAAAAGTAATATATTTTTAATAATATATATTCTATTTTTTAATTAAACAATAAATAAAAGTAAGTTTTCAATTTCTTATTTGAATTTTAGTTTTCAAAATAATATATTTTTAAAAATATTTAATAATAAAAACTAAAAAGTAATGTATTTTTAATTATATATATTTTTAATATTTTTCACTAATATATTTTATAATATATTTTTAATAGTAATATATTTTTATTATATAAAAAATAATATGTTTTCATAATATATAAAAATAAAATAATATATTTTTAAATTATATATAAATGCTTTTTTTAGTTTTATTTTTATATAAGTATTTAATATATCTAATTAAAAAATAAATAAAAGTAAGTTTTTAAATTTTTTATTTTAATTTTATTTTTTAAAATAATTTTATTTAATATATTTTATTCATGATTTATAATATATATTATATATTTATTTTTATTATTATTTGTTAATTTTATTTTTTAAAAAATTGATTCCTACACCAATGAGAATGAGAAAACCTTCCATTTACTATGGAATGGCTAATCCCATGGAGATGGGTTTTGCCATTTCCATTGGAATGATCATTTCTTTCAAAAAATTATACCAATCATGGAATAAGGAATGAGTAAGGAAATGATCATTCTATTTCTATTCTTTCCTACTAATCATGCCATTAGAGCATCTCCAATGTGAGATGTTGACTTAATAAAATGTTAGCTACATCATCAAGTTATAAAGTGATTACAAAAATTACTCTCCAATCGATAATGTTATGGACTCTTTTATGCTGACATGAAGAAAATAAATATCCAAAGTGTGAAGCTCACTTTCTAGTTTTCCAAAGAGTGTTTGAAAATCAACTAATAAAAAATCTAACATATTTTAAGCTTTTGAAAGAAATGCATTGAAGATGTGCATTACAATTTAAATTCTTCTCTTTTGACATTCATATTACATGGATTTACATACCCTTCATCATTTGACATGTGTTTAAATTTAATTAATAGTGAAAGTGGAGCATTGAAGATGCTCTTAGAGCATCCACAATGCTTTGGGTCTCTTGACAAAAAATGACATGCCATGTAAGAAATAAACATAGTCTATAAAAAATGCTTCCCAATGCAATTAAAAGTGGACATGGTCTAGCTTATGTGGCAATAAAAAACAGAGACTAAGTCCACACTTGGGTCTATTTTGGACCCAAGTACAAACTCAAACACTAATCATTTATTCCTACTTTAATTTTTCTTTTAATTAAAAAAACATATTAGATCATTTTTATTGGTTGACATATATGCTAAGCCTAGTATTTTTATTTTTGCATTGCAAAGTTATTGAAGTTTTTTACTTGGGTTTGTCCACGTCATTTAAGACTCAAGTTCAATTATATGCCACATATACAAAAAGAGACCCAAAACATTGTGGGTGCTCTAAGAGTTGGTTCCTATAGGTCCAAAACGTGATAGGTTCAAAATAATTAAATCTAAAAAATGGAAAAGGGAAAAATAGAAATGAAAACGGTTTAACTTGGAGGAGGGGTCAAGATTAGGCGACAATATCGATGGTCCAATCAATCTATAATCCTCCATTCCCTCTTTGTATATAAATAAATAAAAGCCCACACCACATCTTTCTACACTCATCCACAAAACCATCTCTGTCTCTATCTTTACACTCCGACCGTGTTTTTTTCGTTTGTTCGTCTCATACTCGTGAATATGTCTTGCTACAAGGGAAAGTACGCCGGTAAAATTCTTATTCGTTCCTTCTAGTTTTTGATCTGTATTTATCTGTTGTCTCAGTGATGGATTGTGTGTTTTCAGTAGATCTCTGAATTTGTTGCGTTTTTAGATCTGGAAATATTGAATTGTCTCTGGGAATGAGTTTTGAAGTCGTTGGTGTCTGATCTGTATCTGGTTTGGTTGCGACTTTTTTTTCCCCGGTTATGTTGCTTTGTGAGTTCGATGGAGCTTTAATCGCGTTTTATGTGGATCGTTCATGGTTGTGGTGGAGTTATCCATTTCTGATTCATTTTGTTAATTGTTATCCGCCACTTTTTTCTGTGTTGCTTGGTCAAATGACTAAAATCTGTTTGGATCTATTGTTGTGACCCCAGTTGATTCTGCTTATGGTTATGGATTTGGTTCGATTTGGTTTGTCGCCGCTTTTTTTGTATGCCATTAATTTGCCTGCTGTTTTTGATGTTCTGTTGTAAACTTCACCAATAAAAGAATGATATATCTGCTTTGATTAATTAGGTATCATGATTAAGTTTGGCTTGACATCACTTAATTTTTCACAAATGATTTAGATATGTAAACCAATTCTTTTTAATTTACTGAATAATTCATCTGCTAGATTATTTTTATCCAGTATCTACAAGTAGATCCGCGCCGTAATATATTTTATGAGTACTTGTGTTTTCATAATTTATATAACCTGAATTTCACATCCACCTGAAGATCAATAAAATACTGTTCAATAAAATAATGTCATCATTTCCAACATGGTGCCAACTGCCTAATTTCCATCTTGTAACATATGTTATACATTTTCTTTTACTATATTCGGTTGACTAATAGTACCCTTTGTTTGAACTCTCTGCACACACATACATGCAGTTCTAAACATAGTTTCCTATTTCCAGATGAGCTCATTGCCAATGCCCACTACATTGGCACCCCTGGCAAAGGCATCTTAGCAGCCGACGAATCAACCGGCACAATCGGCAAGCGCCTCTCAAGCATCAACGTCGAGAACGTCGAGTCCAACCGAAGGGCCCTTCGCGAGCTCCTTTTCACTGCCCCCGGCGCCCTTCAGTACCTCAGTGGCGTCATCCTCTTCGAGGAAACTCTTTACCAAAAGACAGCTGCTGGTATATGCAAACAAAGGCTAAATTTCATTTTTAGTACACTATGTTGGCCATTTTCCAAAAAAGGTCCATCATATAGGGTGTCATCAAGAATGGTCCACTAAGTTACCACTTTTCATCAAAACTCAGTACAATAGCCAACATAGTGTACTAAAAATGGCAATCACTTTTAGTACACTATGTTGGTTTTTGTACCAAATTTGATTAAAATGGCAATTTAGTGGACGTTTTTTAAATTTTGCCTACAAACAAACACAACACGACACCCACCCATTACATTCTCGACCTAAAAAATGATAACACACTCATATTAATTAAAAAACACTTTCGCAGGCAAACCCTTTGTCGATGTTCTGAAGGAAGGCGGTGTCCTCCCCGGAATCAAAGTCGACAAGGGCACAGTCGAGCTCGCCGGCACCAACGGCGAGACCACCACACAAGGCCTCGACGGGCTCGCCCAGCGCTGCCAGAAGTACTACGAGGCCGGGGCCCGTTTCGCCAAGTGGCGGGCCGTCCTCAAAATCGGGCCCAACGAGCCCTCCCAGCTGGCGATCAACGAGAACGCAAACGGGCTGGCCCGATACGCCATCATCTGCCAGGAAAACGGGCTTGTCCCTATAGTGGAGCCCGAGATACTCGTCGACGGGCCCCACGACATTGACAGGTGTGCTGATGTCACCGAACGGGTCCTAGCGGCCTGCTACAAGGCGCTAAACGACCATCATGTCCTTTTGGAGGGTACCCTTTTGAAGCCCAATATGGTGACGCCTGGGTCGGAGTCTGCCAAGGTGGCGCCTGAGGTGGTGGCCGAGTACACAGTTCGGGCCCTGCAGCGCACGATGCCGCCAGCTGTCCCGGCTGTGGTGTTTTTGTCGGGTGGGCAGAGTGAAGAGGAGGCTACGCGGAACCTCAATGCTATGAACAAGCTCAAGACGAAGAAGCCGTGGACTCTGTCGTTCTCGTTTGGGCGGGCCTTGCAGCAGAGCACGCTCAAGGCATGGGCTGGGAAGGAAGAGAATATTCCCAAGGCCCAAGAGGCCTTGCTGGCGAGGTGCAAGGCGAACTCGGAGGCGACACTTGGGACGTATGAGGGTAGCGGTAGCCTGAGCGAGGGTGCATCGGAGAGTCTTCATGTCAAGGACTACAAGTATTAGGTTTGTGATGGTGGGTTTTTTGGGGGGGCTTGCTTTTTGTGGAGGTTTATGCTGTTGCTAGACTGTGTTATGGTGTGTTTGTGTTTTTGTGTTTTGTTTTCCGAGACTATTTGCTACATTAATTTCTGAGGAGTTTCTTTTGGCTTTGTTCTTTTTGTGGTAATCATCTATCATCGGTGAAAACTAGTGTTATGTCAATGGTTTTCAGATGACTTCCCTTGTCAGTAGTACAAGTGGGAAATTGCAGCTCAACATGTGGAGGAGAACTTGGAGACTTAAGATAAAACATAAATTAAAACACTTTGTGGAAGAGTATAAATAATGCACTGCCCTTTATGAATAATTTGTGGAGAAGGAAAGTTAAGGAGAGTGACAGATGTGAAGTTTGCGGGGATGAATCAGAGCTCACATGTTTTTTTCTTGTGCTAGAGCTCAAAAAGTTTGGAAGTTATCACCTTTGTGTTGGGATGGCTGTGAGGATTACCAGTAGGTAAATGGTGGTCTAAAATTTGTTCAGGCCCTAATACTGTTATTTATAATGATAGATTGGAGTTAACGGTGTATATATTATGGTGGCTATGGAAGACTATATATTATGGTGGCTATGGAAGACGAGAAATTTGTGGGTGTTTTAAAGGATTTGGATAGACGAGGTTGAGGTGGTGAACAAGGCTTGTTTGGAATGGCAGGAGTTCAATCAGATTAGTGTATAGGGAGGGGAAGAGTTTTCTTTTATGTTTATCTTTTTCTTGTACAGCTTCTGTTTTTGGGTCTTGGAAAGTTTAGATGCTAGGGATCCCATGGGGATATCCAGTAGTAGTTCTTCTTCTCGTTGTACAGTTTGGTTTGTATATTTCTTTTCTGTTTCTGGTAGATTAGGGGTTGCTGTTTTTTTGTGGGGTTCATTTTTCTTTTATTTGCTAGTTGTGTGTTGCTAGTGCTGCTTGGGCCCTGGTTTTTTGTTACGATTGAGGGTGGGGGTGCTTTTGATTTCTTTTGATTTTTTTGTTCTAGATTCTGGTTTAGATTTTGTTTATGTTTGTTTACTGCCTTTTTTTGGGGGTCTTAGTCTTTTGGTAAATTATGTAAACCCAAGAGAAGTGTGTATTGTAACTCTTTTTGACGTTGGAATGAAATTTTTGATCGTTTGGAAAAAAAAAAAGACTTTTCTTGTCGGTTCATATGTCAATTCTGCCGTTTCTAAAGAGAGTCGCTTTACTACTCATGTTTTCTAATGTTTCCATGTTGAGAAATTCGTTTCATAAAATATTTGGATTAGGATTTGAATTTGGAGTTCGACTTACAATATGAACTCAGGTATTGCTAGCTGGGTAGGTCATAGTCACATCATATGGTCGCGCTCCAGTGAGAATGATGCTTAATGAAAGAAATAAGAATAAATTTTAAATATCAAATTGGACAATCCAACGGTTAAAAAATTGCTAATTTTTTCCACTCATTAAGGGTTAATCGGTAATTACTAACATACACAAACAATTAATAACAACTAATTAATATACATGAATATAAGATTGATGAAACTTGAGCTTAACATTATCAAGTTTGGATGAGATAACGTTGCTTCATATCTCTT